GAAGACAGGGGCCCTCCCATCAGTTGCAGTGGTTACTATGACAGGGCTGGGATGTGTGTGGAGTGCAGTCCCCTAGGGTTATATCATAATCAGGAGGAGCACTTACACTTTGAAAAAGCTCCCAGAGGTGTATGTAGAGCATGTAGAGCATGTGCATGCGTGCACGCACGTGCACACGTGTGTGTGTGCTGGTCCACTTAAAAAAAAATTCTCTAGTCCTGTAAACTCAGTTTCTTTAGATGATGCAGTATGGGAGAAACAGACAGTTTTGCTACCTGTCTGGCTTCCAGAGGAGGGATAAATTAACACACAACACTCAATTTATTGAACAGTTTTAAAAGAAAACATTTTATAATCCGTAGGTTTTGAAGTTTAAGGGACTCTGCAGGTGGAAGGAGTGGACAAATGAGTGCTGAAGAAGGTGACCCACCCCCTCCGGAAGAAGAAGCACCTCCCTCGTCAGGAGATGCAGCACCTCCAGATTCAGAAGGTGCTGCCCCTTCAGATCCAGGAAATGAGGCCCCGCCCCCTCCAGAAGAAGAGGCTCCTCCTCTTTCCAGTGAAGAGGCTCCGCCTTTTCCAGAAGGAGCATCCTTTGAGGAGGATGGTGCCCCTCTTTTTGAGAAAGGTCCTACTTACTCTTTAAGTGATTATATGAACCTCATTTCTTCTGATGAAAGGATAGTTATTCCAGTCGATGATGAGGCCTATGCACATAGGGTTCGATCTAGGCCTCCGCCCCGAATAGTCCAGTCAATGTTGTCTGATGTGCTCTCCCAGTCTTCGCGCAGTTCATCCAGATATCGCCGAAGTATGAGCGGGATTCCAAGTCTGCAGGAAACATTGAAAGAGAGACAGGTTTTGCTTATAATACCATTTTTCATATGTGTCACTTTTATTTCAAATGAAATATTTGGTGATTTACCTTCATAGTTAACAATTCTTTTACACGTGGTTTTCATCCTTTAGGCAAGATTTAGAGATGCAAGAGAAAGCCGAAAAATGAAAATTGACCCTTCATATAAATATATATTTGAAATTCTATCAGAAACGCTTGGTCTGGACTTAACAACTGTTGAAGAATTGATTTTGGATTGCCCATCTGTAAGTTTGTCTGTTTTATCATTATTTTTAAATTGCTTTTTGATAAGTGATTGAATTAAGAAACCTGAATTGTTGTGAACAAAACATTTAGGAAGAGAAGGTTGGAATTTAACTGACTAGAGAAGCTTTATTTTAAATAATTATAGCTTATTGGGTGATATTTCTAGTTTTGTTCTACTATTGTGGAGAAAGAAAAGAGGAGAGTTAGCAACTAGGATTGAGCTAAGGTTCTAACTCAAAATGGCTTCAGAAGTTAGAGGAATAGTGACGCCCAGATAGAGTGACATTTTAAAC